TATTTTCATTCAAAGAAAGAGCTTCTGGGCTCTTTCTACTGTTTTTGAACCAAACAAATGTCCTCCTAGCTAGGGAACTAGCCTTCCTAGCTGAGGCAGGTATTCTTTAGTCTTTGATTGAATTGTAGTCTTTTCCAAGTAGTATTATAAAAATGTGTTTGCTTATGTATTTCCCTTTAAGACTTAGTAGGGTCATGCATTAGTGTCCTGAGAGTGTCCCTTCTCTGACAATTAATGACGACTAACTTCAAGTAGTAGCAAACTGTCTGAAATAGGCTCCTATTAACTCTCAGTGCAAGTTAAAGCGAATAAAATAAAAACAAATCAGAATTAGTTCTTAACTGATTAAAAGTAATTTTTGATGCATTAAGATACACAAAAGTAAATGTGGGTCTATTCGGTAGCTTTTGGGGGCAGGTCCTATTTACAAACAGGGCACCATCCACACAAATAAACTTACCTGACTTGTGTGTTAATATGTGGGTGAATTAGTGCTCATTAATATGTTGAAGGAAGATGGTTAACCTGAGCTTCTTATCTGGTCATTATTGGTGCAATCCAAGATGGAATGACCAGTGATATTTTCATGTTCTCAGCCTTGTCTTATCAACATCTTCTCATCTTGTCCACAAAACTGAAGACTAGCTTGCATGGCAGTTACTGCAAGACAATTTTTATTGTGTCAAGGGCTTGAAGGGCTGACATCATGAAAGTGAATGGAGAAAGGGGTTGATATTAAAACTTTTAATAGAGACTAGGTCACCTTGAAAGAGGTCAAATTTGTGGAAGCAGGAATAGAAACCATCATTGACAAAAAATGGTTTATGTATACATTTTTATTGATGTGACTTAAAAGCTAAGGGCAGTAAAATGAGAACATTCTGTTGTAGTTGCATGACTATGAGATTTTTTTTTTCTTCAGCTTTAGGTGTGGATAAGTAGCTGAATGACAGAATACCAAATAAGCAAGGAGTTTAAATCCCCAAATAGAATAAGCAGATGATGTAACCAATGAGATCTTTTATGGTGATGGTAGACCAAAGTCTCCCTTGGAAATAAGGTAAAAAAAACCCCAAACAACAAACCCAAAAGAAAAGACAGACTTTAAAGGGAAACTACAACTCTAGGAGCAATGTACTGAGATTCTCTGGTGGGTTAGGTAAAACGCATGATACAAAAATCATTAATTTTCTTTTGTTTACATTTTGAGGCATGAGAAGACACAGATTTCCTGCTTTCAAAAAGAAAGTGAAAATATATGGGAGTAGGAAGGCACCAAATTGTGTTTAGAAAAAGTTTAGTGTTCAGCTAAATGCACGGATGCATAAACTAAACACTTTTTATGCCTAAACCACTGTTTATATAGTAATGAGGATTTTCCATCAGTTTCTTCAGTTAAACAGTAGCTGTCTTTTCGCTACTTAATGGAAAGAAGGCAGTCTTGCATAAGAACATCAGATATATTAGCATGTTAGGCTCTTTTATCTTTTATATGAGTTCAGCATAGCAATAACCCTAGCACACCAACATCTTAACCTCCTTTCCCTTTGAATTTTGTCTCAGATTTGTGAAATGAACCGGGTCCAATTTTGCTTAAGAAACAAGCTGGGGTTTTGGATGACAGAGAAAGTCAATATCCAGTTTTTGTTTTGAAAGATGGAGAAAGCTTGTTTACGACTAGGAACATCCGCCAAATGCTGTAACACCAGCATAAATTAACTATTTACTCAAACTCATGTTTACATCTGCAAAAGAAGCTGTTGCTCCATGTTTTTAGTGCCCCAGAGACCTATAAATCCCCTGGAAAACATTGCAACAATGTAAAACAGCCCAGTGCAGTTATTCAACAAGTACCATTTTTGTGGAGTGGTGCTGTGCCGGAGCATGCTCGGTCCAGCATCTGCGATAAATCCAAGCTCCAGTGGCATTTGCTCTACTGACTGGAGTCACTAGGGACCGCAGAAAGGAAGGGAGATGCAAGTCATGCTAGTTGGATGTTTGGAATAACCAGACAGCAAGCAGATGAATCCTAAAAGTGCTGCGTTGCTAAGGAGCCCTCAGCAGAAGAGAGGGGAAGAGAGGGAATGAAGAAGTTCGATGCATACCTTTACATCCAATTGTGACACTTTGTCTCACAGTAGACAGTTGAGATTGGATGCTTCAGGTTTTGTTTTAGAGCAATAGAAACTGTCAACCGGTATATCGCAGGGATGGCTGCTCTAGGCGAACAGTCCCTCGTTCATAGGCTTCCTTTTTGCATCAAGATCCTGAGCGAGAGGCCCATGTTCGGGGCGGTTATCAATGGATAAAAAAGATTGGAAAAGCTTCTTTCTTTGCATTAAGTTTTTTCAAAGCTGTGCAATTTTAAAATAAGATACCCTCGATAAAAATAGTATAATGTCCAATCATCGTATTTAATTGGGTGGAAACTCAGTGACTGAGTAGTTTAAAATTAGATGGAATTAAATTTTATACTGAAAAGAGCAACGCCCCAGAGCTCGTGTCTATCTGCTCTAATTCATTTTTTTGGAAAGCTGCAGACCTTTATTCCTCTTCTTAATATACCTCTTGAATTTGTGCTGTTTCAGAGCTGCTACATACCCTTTTTCAGAGCTGCCAAACCAGAGTTCAGAAGGTATTTTTTGTGGTTCAGAGGGGGATTTTTTTCGATCTCTCCTTTCTCTCCTCATTAGCACTGGCAAATGAAGCGTTCATTGTTGTTGCATGAAGCCTTCCCTGGAATTGCTGGTTGCTGTATATATGCTGGGATTTCATTGTTGCTTCAAGTCTCTGCATTTTAGAGTACACACCTACATCCTCCAGTAGATGTGCTGATAATTTTATTGCTCTTTCCCCCCCGCCTATTCCTGTGATCTGATAATCTCAAGTATTGCATCTACTCTTACTGCACAGCATTCAACCCTAGATTATATGGATGGGAAGAGGAGCAAAGAAATAAACCAGCAATTTTCATTTCTTAGAATGATAGAGTTCAACACTTTCAGAGTCAAAAGGGGGGATGATGTTTTACCTCCAGCCTGCCAACCATTACTGGAGGTGACAGCTGGTCACAACAGAGAATGTGGGGACTGATGTGGGTTGTTTTACAGAAGACTTAAATAAGCTTTGTTTTTGGTGTTACAACTTTTGAGAGGGAGAAAAAAGTTATACCTACCCAACTTGTATCTTCAATTGTAATGAATGTTTCTTAATTTTCTTATCCCAGTGGAGGTGGGTATTTAAAATGAGTTTTGTTTAAAACAGTAAACGAAATACTGTCTATATAACATATATTGGATTTACTATGCTTTGACATGCGCCATCAGACTATTTCACTAGCACATTACTTTACCAGGAAGGCCTTTCTTCCTCAGCTTATATGCAGCAAGTTGTGTGAGGTGAACGATGGAAGACTCAGGCCATATTATTTATCATTACTGTGTGAAATGGCCTCTCTTATTTGGAAAAATAAAAATTTCTACTTCTGTATTAGTATAGTGGTCACAGAAAGACTTTCCATTACTGAAAAGGAGTTGGAAATGAAACTGGGGACAAAATGACCTTTTGATTTGACTAACATACTGTGGACTTGTGGTTTAGTTATTGGGTTTGGGGGGATTCTTTTTTTTCTTTCTAAATATATCTGTTCTCACAGTGCTCACTTGAGACCTGAACTTTATGTACATGCTGATATATTTGCAAAATCAGGTCCTTATTAATGTACTTTCTCTTTCCAAATTAAAAATTAAGACTATGTAAGGAATATCAAGTACTTTGGAAGTAGCAGTCCTTTTTGGACATTTAAAGGAGGCTTAGACCTCTTAGTTATTTTACCTATAGTCTCTCTATATCATACATATAAAAGAGGACAGTACAAGTATGACATAAAAGTTTGCCATCTCAAAAGCTATACTTGAACCCGCAGTTGAAGTGACGTCCCCTCATAGATATATAGTAAATATTTTCTTGTACTCTAATCTTAAAATAATAGGAAGTACTCCAAACAATTATGTTGCGGCTTTTGCTCACATCAAAGTTGAAGGTTGTTTTTTTTTTTTTATTGCAACCTGCCAAAGCTTCCCATTATGAGTCACAAACTTTAACTGTACAAGTTTGATTGTTAGCAATCAAGAAAAATTATTCATCAAAAAGCTCTCCTAGACTGTAAAATTAATAGTAAAAGAGATTTAGCAGAAAACTTAAACCTGCACTGTTAGATTTTATTTCTTTTACAGATCTATTTCCTTTATGCAATATACTATTTAGAGAACTATTTTGGGTTTTCTGTTTAATTATGTGAGCTTTTTTCCATCCTTTAACAATTGTACTATAGTTCGAAAAAGGAAATTGTGTTAGCTTCAAACATGACAAATCCTTTGAGTGTTTTTAATGGATTCTGCCATTTACGATAATCATTTGAGAAAACACAAAGAAAGGAAAATGTGGCATGCAGCTAAGTAGGAGAACTTGTTAGTCAAAACCAGCTGATAGTCAGGACTTCTAAAGCAATCATTAGGAGGTTTTCTATCTAGTATTAACAGATAGTAATATTTTTAAGTGAAAAGTGAAACTTTCACGGTTGGTCTGAAAGCCAATGGTGTAAATAGTTTAAGCATCTGAAAAATTTTATTTTATAACCCTTTTTATTTTGGTTTCCCCTTAAAGACAGGTAATTCCATTTAATTGCATGTGGGAAAGTACTTTCCACTGTTTTTCCATTTTTATAGTTAATGTTATACTTCAGCACAATGTTGTAAAGTAAACTGTGAATGAAATAGTAGAATACACCCAGAACAGCAACCCTGTTTGGTAGGGGAGTGTGTGTGTGTTTTTCTGTTCTTAAAAAAAGTCTGGATATCTACTAAGGTATGTTATGAGCACAGCTGGGCCTGTTGGCTTCATTTTAATGCTTTCTGAGGGATAATAAGATTTACAAAACATGTCACTAAAACATATGCAGGCATATGCATTTGCACAGAAATCTATGATTTTTCTTAAAGACCCAGGCAGGGATTACATTTGTGCCTCACGTTGAAAGCCGTAATGCCACACTGGCTGAACCGTGTCCAACACGGGCAGCCACCAAGGCACGGAGTGACCACGTGAAATTGCTTGTCAGGACTGCGACACTCATCAAGAAAGTGAAATGGAAGGTAATTTGTGATCCTGCAATTCTGCAAGGTTCTGCGTGCACTGCAGAGGCCAGTTATGAGTGTTTCAAAGGGACAGGTTTTAGAAAGAGTAAAAACATTTGAGGCAGACTGATTGAAAAAAAAGAAAAAAAAAAGGAGAAAATGAACACTAACATAGGATTAAGCAGAAATATTGGATGTTAGATTTGCTCCAGACACTGTTTTTTTCTGTCACATGTTCAAGATATATAAAATTTTCACTACATCATTAAGGAGTTCCAAAGAACTCTGTTCCATGACGAATGGAAAAAAAAATTAGTCAGTGTAACACACGTGGAAGAATTACACTGAAAAATACCACTGTGAAGTGGCTTCCTGTTTCCTGTAGCAGCAAAATAATTCTTAGAGAGGGTTAAAGTAGAATTGTTGGTACCCATTTATATTTTCCTTTATGTAACTGTATCCTGAAGACCTGCTTTGGAAAGATGGGTGAGTGAGGCAATATGGAGCCCTAAAGAAACTCCAACAGTATTAAAGTTCTGTAAGTGTTTCAACTTTTATTGCTAAGTATGGAAAACTAAAAGCCTGGATTCTTTGGCTTATGTGCAAACTATTTCTTTTTTTTTCAGACAGGAGCTCATGCAATTGCAATAAATTTTTTTAAAAAAGAAAACTTTGAAGTCAGTATGATTTTTGACTGTAAGTTCTGCATGTATATTTTGAGAAAATATACATGTAGGAGCCTAAGAAAACACTTTTCTTTAATCAACTCAAGACTTCTCATGATCATACACAAAGTAAGCTGGGATTTACAATGGGATTAAAATCGGCTCCGACACCCTTGTGACTGAGAAGCGATTCCACTGAAATTCTTGAGCTTGCCTCAGTTTGCCCACTGTAATCTGGGGAAGAACCTGGCCTCTCCTTAGAAACTGGCCCAAATGGCACACTCTTTTCCGCACCGTTTGCTCTAGTGAAGCGGCACAATGATGTGGTCTGTTACAAGTTCTACAAGAATTACTGTAGATTCTGGGTTTTACCTTTTTTTAATGTAATGATGTCTTGTGTGAGAGGAGCGGGGGAAATGGCACTGTCTATATATAGCATGTCAGCTAAGGAAGGAAGAGCATGAGGCTATACACTTGGTGAAGTCTGGAAATCACACCTTGATTTCAGCAATTTCAGATAAGGTGACTATAGTGACTATGTGTAAAAAAATTGAAGTCTATTTGCATATGGACAAATCACAATGATTGGTTATTAGAAGGATATTTGGAAATTCACAATGAAGATTTATTGTACTGATATCTTAAAACTAAATAATCTCAGATATTTACTTTCTTTACTTGGAATAACCAAGTTTGTAACCCCTCATAAAAGCGTTTTACTCACAGCTTCGAAGAATAATATCCACAAGGTCTGAACTTTCTAAGCAACAGAATTATTAGCAAGAGCTGACTGCCATTTGGGAAGCAGACATCACTAGTCTTGCGGTGGAATGTACTGCTGCTTTGAATGCAAGGGACTTTGAATGTAAATTTGAAAACACATAAAACTAATGACCATTTATATAAAGAAGTTAATATAGAAACAAGGTTTGTAAAATGCATTGCTTGACATATGTTCCCATCCCCACTGTACTTTGGATTCTTAATATTAACAGTGTCAGTCTGGCTTTACAGAGAAAAAAAATAACTAACTATTTTAATGATATTTAAATTCTAGATAGCACATGCAGGATATACACTGGTATAATTTCTCTATACATTTCTTAGCAGCAAGTCACTGCAATGTGTTTTTCCATTCCTTAGCCTCATCTCTGTTTTTGCTGGCAATATCTTAAGCTAAATATTTAGTGTTTTATATCATATAAAGTGAAGCAACCACAACTATATTTTAACTATGACAAAGAGGCAGATCTACATATACTTGTGAAAAAGCATCTCCTCAAAAAAGCTCACTGGCTAAAAGGATTAAATCATCCAGAGTGCATTCTTTATCATTAAAGTACTTAAAGTTGTTTTTTTTTTGTTTAGACAGGAATTAAATATGGCCTTTTGTTAAACCAGAGTCCCAGAACACTGCCTGTGTTGGCTGCTCTAATATTTTTGGCAGGACAATGGTTTCCCTGCTTTACAAAGCTAAAATGAAAACTGCATCCCATCATTTTAGGGAGATAAGGCTTGTTGAGCGGTGATTATGTAACTAAGTTCTCTGTGTCATATGCTCTTTTCTCTTCTTAAGCAGCCACTTCCCTACAGTTTGTAGTGCTTTAGATCTTTTACGTACCACCTTTGCAGAAAAAAATCTATTTTCCTAAGTAATTTTATTCAATAAAGTAGGGCGAAAAGGAGTATTTTAATGCCTCCTTGGAGTTCCAATACAACTGCTGTCCAGGGAAGGGCTTTCATCAGACCGGTGATGATGACTGAGGCACGCACAGAGTTTGGGGTGCGTTTGGTTGCTCTTCATTATTATTCTGCTTCCTTTGGGTAGGAGAGAGCCTCTGTGGGAGATGCCTAGGAAGTGAGACCCAAGGGAAGGAAGATTATATAAACTCCTATCTTAACTACTGTGTTCTCCACTTGGGTGTCTATTTTCTAAGAAGAGGCTTCTGCATGTAAAATTTCTTGGTTTAATTTGTAGGTTAACACTTACTCAGGAGAACTCACTGCTAATCTGTGGGGAGATGGTGCTGGCAGCTCTCACCTTCATTTAATGAAGCTCTTCTACATGAAAGCAAATTCTAAAAATGGTTTGGTAAATAGGCAAGCAATCACCACGTGTATGTTATTTGATGCTGCATGTAAGAGATGTATCTCCAGAAGTCCAAATGGGAATTGAAAATCCTAATAGACAAAGTCCTGTTAAAATGCAGCCTGCAAAGTTTCTTTAAGGGAAATCCTGTGTCTCCTCTCCTAACATAAGCTATAATTATACAAACATTTGGGATTGAGAGTAAGTGTCTTCCACATGAAGATCTACTAACTAGTGTAATTATTCAGAGGAAAGAATCATATGTTGTCTTTCATATTTGCATGGTTTGAAGAAGTGACATGTACATGCTCTATAATTAGATCGATCAGATGACCTGGCAGAAGCATGTCTTTTCCAGGATAGGTATCTTCAAAAACCTGCAGCATTAGCTATCACAGTGCTATGAATCAGTGTTTCCGATAGTGCAGTATAATTCCTAGACTTGTGCTTTCAGGAGGCAGTAATAACAAAAAAGTTGGCGGCAACAACTAGTAGGTAATGGTTTAGGACGGTATATAGTGTGTTTCAGAATTCTCACAGGTTTTGCTGTGCCAGTTCATGTTTTTTTTGGGAGTGGGTATGAGGCTGTTTTAAATTGTAAATTGTCACAGACTGCTTTAGAAAGCATTAACTCAATAAGCAAACAAAAATTTGCTTTCATTAGAATGAAAAGAAGGATTCATGTAATTTTGATGTCGTACTCATGCTACTGTGCAGCTTTGCACATTTGCACATGCAGAGTTGTGAATTATGGAAATGATGATGCTGTTTGTTCCATTTTTCAGAAAGGATTCTCTAAATACGTTTAGTAAATTGCAGCTCCAGAAATACGCTTAATGACACTCTCAAAAGAGGCACTCCGATTGAATATGTTCAGTGATTTGGAGCTATACATTTAGCTGAGCAAAATCTTCTGGGAATATTATTTAAATGATTTTAAAGAGAAGAAAAATTATGAAACAAAAATAGATCAATTAAGCCTGCAGCATTTGGTTGCATAGTCTCAACTGGTGCAAATACGAGTAGGTGCTTCAAAGTAAGCATAACTATGTAGTTTTCTACAGTCCAGGAGTTAACTAATTTTTTTGGTACAAAGATTGTTCTTAAAAGTAGGGACTAAGGATTTAAATTAGGATCCTGCAAAGCAATGGGCAATGTTTTGGACACAGGGTAAGTTTACATATGAATTCTAAGCAACTTTGAAATGAAAGTAGAAAAAAAGGTCATGGAAAAAATGCATAGTATTCTCTATTAAATGTCAAAAATGTTTGAAAGTGACTATTTCTGGGTAAATCTTATTCTCACATGTAGTTGCTGGCAATAGGAACCATATGGAGACTTTTATGCCAGCTCCTTGCTTGTATCTTGGTGAACTATTTAATTTTGTCAGAAAATATATTTAAAGCATCAGAAAAAAATTAGATTAGGCAATTCAGCTGTATAACAGTATGTACTTCTGACCATTAACAAATACAGTTGTCCTCTCCATAATACCCCTCTGCAACTCTAATAGTACAAAGTTGCTTATTTTCTTCATGTGTATTTTAGATTAAAGATATGTTCCTAGATTATTGCTCTGATACTAAAGAACTTTTCCTTATGTTCATATTGCCAATATCTTGAAGGAGGAAAAAACCCAGTAAAACCACCAACGACATTTTGCATTGAATCACATATCATTTTTGTGTCCTATTGATGTTTAGAAGCTTTAAACTTTTGTTTACATGTTAGTGATTTAAACAAATGTAGAGGAATTAAGTTTGGAAGAAATGTTCTTTCACGCAACATTAAACTACTCAGAAGTAACAAGACTTTTGCATTGATTACTTTGTAGAGATTGCTTAATTTTCAAGCAAATAACCATGTGGGAGTTGTTCTCTGCAAACACTTTAACATCATTTAGAGGAAGGTATGCGATTAAGAACATTTAATTTAGCCAACTTCACTATAAATTTATAGAGAAATTAATTTAGAAATAGGTTGTTAATGGTAGATGCTTTCTGAGAAAAAGTGTTGGAAGATGTGAGTGAAAGTTGAAAGCCTGGACATTGAACAGCAACTCCAGGGGTGCAATTCTGATGGCCTTTTTGTCACAATTCATTAGTGATTATTGTCATTATTCACTGTCTGTATGGATATTGTGATCTGAAAACCATCTGCAACTGCTAATAGAGCACTACCAATCAATCAGACTTATTTTTGAAAATTTTGTCTGGGATCTTCCATTGCAGGTATTAACTGAAAGTTCATTTCAGTCTGAGAAATGAGGGTATGATGTCAGCTGTTGAACTAATCCAAGAAAAAATAGCAGGTGCTTCTTGCACATTTTGCCTGTTATTCTGACCCTACCCAGTTAGCAGCAGATCTTTGTATCACGGATATTCTGACCAGTCTCTTCTCCCTATTCTGTGAATAGCCCTTTTTTTTCCTAGGCATGCATCAAAACCAAAAATGCCAAAATGAGCACTTTTCATATTCTACACATAGGAGTTAGATCCTGTGTTTACTTGGTATGCTTCATCTCTCAACGATGTAGAGAGAAGGAAATAGGAACTCTGGCAGGACAATACAAATGTTAGGATTAACACCAAGCGTTTCCTTAGAGTGAAGTAGAACTAACTTTTAAGGGTGAGGATGATTAGTAACGATTTTTTGTAAAAAAATAATGACCTATTATTAAAGTCAGGAAAAGGAAAAATCCAAGCCTCCAAAGATCTGTAGAACAGTCATTTACAGCTTTGAATGTCTTTCCAAATGGTATCTATCTTCTACGTCAGATACCAACAAGCATTTTTGTCTAACAGAAGATATTAAAGATGCTGCCTGGAGTTTTTGAAAACTGATAAAAACAGTTCTGAGAAAGAGGTATGACCTGCATCCCTCAAAGCAGTGTTTAACTGCCTGCATTACCTGACGTCCAAAGAACAAAGGTTTGCATAAGAGAGACTGATAAGGTACTAATACCTGCATGTAGGCTGCATCTTCTGAGAGTGTGCCAGAATTTGTCTGGGAGAAGGCGGAACACAGACAATATAGATTGCTGTATGTTTCATCAAGTGGTTTGTACCATCTGTATATATTTTATGTGTGCCTTTTGAGAGTCAAGGAGTGTAACTTAGATCCCCCTAGGCTTTGTTCTCTGACTCTACACCTACTATTTGGCATAAGATGCATCTAGTAGAAGAAAACTAAAGTTGTTGGGACTTTTTTCTTGTCTTTGTTGCAACAGCTGCAAAACAGATGTAGGCTTACATGAGTTCTGCCAAAAATCTCTTCGAAGTCTCCCACCCATTTTCCACCAAAGAGAAGCTAGTCAGGTGATATGAACAGAGACCTGAAGGTCAGAAAGAGATGGGAGCTCCCAATCCTGGCTCTATAGAGACTGTTAAAAAGAAACAATCAGAAAACCTAGATTTACCACTTTGGAAAGTAAAACAACCAACATTTCTAAAATTACTATTCCAATTAGTATGATGTCAATAGGAAATAAAAGGCAATCTGTACATGAACCACAGCAGCACTGCAGCAGAGAAAGTCAGATGACAGTAAGAGTTCGTAACTGGTGTTCACCTAACTGGCAGCCATCTAAGTCTCTTTTTAGACATATTTTCAAGATCTCAAAAGCATTAAGCAAAATACCATTGTCTTGCTGGCCAGATCTTTGCTGAAACAGATTTCCTAGTTTTACAGTTGTTCTGTTGCGTGAACCTCAATATTGAGAGGGAGTCAGCTTTCTATGTACCTGTTTCAGGTTTCTGTGTACCTCTCCAGCTTTTGCTTTCAGCAATATTTGAATATATCATGTGGGGTTTTTTTCAGAGTATCTTGACTATTACAAATGCATTCAATGACATTCACCACAAATAAATAAAGCCTGAAACTTTTCCACTCTGTCAGTCTGCTGATGAAATCATACTGCTGACAAAACTGTTCCAGGTGCTTGCAATCCAGCGTTGACTTAAAGGTAGTATCCAGCAATGGCAGAAATGTCTAAATAACCAGTTGTCCAAGCATACTTATGTTCACACAGGGTCTGTGTTGGCTAGCATTGCCAGCAGTGCTGTATCCTCTATGCTGGCAAAGATGAAGGACAAATGCTACTCATGCAGTTACATTTCCCTTTCCTTACATCAGTATCCCAGGAACTTGGAATTTAGATGCTAACCACATTTGTGAATTGGGAACGCAGAACCATGAGTATTAACCTGAACAGTGACTTGACTCATTATGGTTTTACTGGCTGTATAGTAATTCTGTTTTCCTCATGGAACCATCTGCTTGCAGAAAAATTGCTTGTCTTATAAGTCTCAGTCACTTATAGAGATCAGTAGCCTTCTGAGAGATGTTTGGGTGGGTACTCCTGAAGTTTTTCCCTTTGACCATTCATGATAGCAGTAGCTACCAAGGTTTTACACCTTTGACCCCACTTTCTGTTGCACTTCCAGGCTTATGTCTTCATTTCTAGTATTTAATTTTCAATATGATGTCAGTGTCATCTGTAGGTGCATTACTTTTATTTAAGATTGCAACCTTTAGTTTGGAAATAAATGAGCCATGGATCTTACAGCAAGTACTAACATGGGAAGACCTCTTGGCTCATGGCCTCACATGGGCATAGCTTTACTGAGACTGTTAAGAGGGCTTTAGCAATGACTTGCATGTGTTGTACTGCATATAAGCAGTATGCACACCCACCTGCTTTCAAACATGTACGAAACACATCTCTGGTGGCATAGGAATGGCAACTCTGAATGTTAAGAAAGATGAGTTAGGTATTGCCAGTAATTCATTGGAATGCTGATATAGGGGTTTAAGTATTTAAGTTCAAGCCATCTACATAGTATTTGGACCTTATGATGAGGTGGCAGATGGGGAAATTTCAAGGAAGAAAGCAACGTGCATGTTCCTTCAATGGAAAAATGCAGACAGGAGTTAGAGTGGCTCTAGTTTGCCAACTAGTATGAAGGAAGAACTGTGAACTTCTAGGTTTAAGGTGGTTTTGATCTGTCAAGTTTTCTATGTTAAGTTTGGATAATGGACCTTGACCCAACACTGTAGTCAATGGATGTGCCATCTAATGGGGTCCTATCCTAGAAAATCCCTACTCCAGTTGTGACTGAACAGTTCCCAAATCCACTCAACAACATCGGCAGATACCCTCAGTCATACACACCAGCAGCACAACCACGTCTGAAACAAAGTTCTGTGTGTTATGTCAGCAAAAGTTAAGAGGTTTGGTGATTTGAATTCATTGGCTTTAAAACATTTTAAATTAATGGCTATAGCACTGAGTCAAACATCAACAGTTCTCATTAAAAAAAAAAAAAAGTTCCCTTCCAAGCAATAGAGTAACTGACAAAAAGTGGAAACATAGATAGTTGACTGCAGTTTTGAAACCAGAGCCACTGGCCAGTTGGACAGTCTCAGGCATGTCGATGATTCATCTGACACAGAGTCCCAGGGAGTGATTTCTTATGGGCCTGTTCATTTGGATGTTGATGCAAGTTTCTATTTAAATCAGCAGCTGAAGTGTGAATTTATCTGTGACATTTTTAAGATGGTTCATGAGGCCAGAATTTGACTAATGATACTCCTACTGATCTGCTAATTTTGGATTTACAGGTGTTGTATCATACCCAAACTTTTAAATGTCTGGTCCTTTTTTTTTTTTTCTTTTTTTTTTCTTTTTTTTTCCACTTTATCTTTCCCTGTTTTCTATCCCCCCCCCCCCCTTTTCTTTTTCTTTTTTTTTTTTTTTACAGTTTGATCTCTTTTCATTTATTTAAACAGACTTCACTGACAGCAACAGAATGATTTGAATCAGGACCAAATGTACCTGTTTCTGAGAATAAAAGGAATGAGAAGGGTGGTAATGAAACTTTCAGCAAAGCTCTCTGATCGTGACCAAAGTATTCCTTTGGTAATGAGCTGACATGGTAGCAAATTTCCTACACTGAGACTAGCTGTGGCATAACCTCCCTGCTTGCACCTTGGCATGAGTAAGAGGAGATCCCATTATCACATGGGATGTGCGCACTGATTTCTTTTTGATGTATGTTGATTTTTCTATGCTTTGTCTGTTACCTTTCCCTGAAAGTGTAACTGGACTAAACCTTGAAGTGTGTTCTTTAAAATAGAGCTTTGGCTTAAAGTATTAGTGAAATGATAGGAGAGGAAGATTCTTGAAGTATTACTCATTAAGACACTAGTCAAACGATACACATCCTGTACTGGTTGGATGCACTAAGAGTTGCCAGAAGTGGGAAGGAGTTGAAGCTTTGCAGAAATTCTACAGAGAACTGTTAGGAAATGAAACACTGCAAAATTTTAAGCTAAAGTTTGACGTGCATGAATGGAAGCAGCAACTCACATCTGTCAGAATTACTGCTGTTTTTCCTGATTTACAGTGAAGAATCCATAGGTATGAAAGCAAGGGTGTGTTTCTGAGATAAGAAAATTTGAAGTATGTAACTTAAGCACGTTGTTATCTTTGGGCTTGTGTCCTATTTAGCTGTGCACTTATCATTACTTCCATTTTTTTTTTTTTCTTTTCCAGATTCCCAAGAAGGAAACTACAAGTCAGAGGTCAACAGTAAACCCAGGAAGGAAAGGACAGCTTTCACCAAGGAGCAAATCAGAGAGCTAGAAGCAGAATTTGCTCATCATAACTATTTGACCAGGCTGAGGCGATATGAGATAGCAGTAAACCTTGACCTCACTGAACGACAGGTACTGATGCAAAATAATGGACTTTAAATGCTTGTCTAATATTTATCAGTGGTTAGTAGCTACTCACAGTAGAAGTCTTGTTTATGTTGCCAGTAGATATGTTGATGTATCAGATTGAATGTTTATAGCAAAATGATATACATTTACTCTCTCTCTGCTATGCAAGTAGTTTATATTTTTATATGTATCAGCTACAGATAGTTTCATCTAGTAGGCAGAGATGGAAAAGTATGAGTAATATATCTGTTAAACTGGTGCACATCTTTTCTAATCTGTCCACACTGATGTGCCTGAAGAAGTGGTAGGTTCCAAATACTGTGTGCACAAGCAGTCGATTTGCCTGCATGCAACAAATATGAGCATCTTGGTTTAGTCTATTAAATGTATGCAGTTGCCATTTGTCCATAGTTTCTGAACATCCTGTTTCCAGATGGCAGCAAGAATGGGAACACCAGCAAAACTGGAATACAGGCATTTTTAACCACTTTATCTTACCCTGTGTAGTGAAAGCAGAGGAGACGATGGAATTTCTTATCCTGTTGCTGGTTTCCTGCTCGCCAAACCCTGGTCCAGGAAACACTTCTGCACATGCTCAAGTTTCATCATGCATGTTGTCACATCGATTTCTAATGGAAATATTCATGTTAAGCATGCACTGAAGTGTTTCAGGATCTCATCCCAACACACAAAATAGGTAGTCAAGTCACATTTCAAATAATAATTACATTGACATATACATTTAAAAATGTGGTTTAGTAAAGACATTTAGAATACTAGACTCAAATACACCAAATCTGATGAAATACCACCTACGGTTTTATGATTAAAATTGAAAGCTTTTTGCCCAATGCTAGCTAGTCAGTCATCCCAGGAATCAATATTATATTGAGGGATTGCTTTAGATGCAATCAGTAAGATGATGATATATTCAAGGGAAGGTATCAAAATAGCACCATGATTTGTGAGCTCTAGATATGAGAAGTTTTGCATTTTTCTTGAGTTTCATTAACACCTGCTATAGGTAGACATCTCAATGAAAATCCAGCCTTTTCTGTGCATATAAACACACATTTACTCACACAAGCAAATGAAACAGGTTTTTTTCTTTGAAGGCTTCTAGAGAATGGCTGTCCCTTCCAGCTTGTCAAGAAGCAGCCAGCAATTTCTCTTGTTTAATTTGAACACGTTGCTAGCTTCCACTGGGGTAATTTTCAGTTACTTAAATATGTTTGCTATATTTGTAAAGCACACCATTTTGTATCAAACAACCAATAAATTTTTGCCTTTTTCTTTTCCACTGACTAAGGTAAGCCAAGACAATTAGATTAACTTCCACTTGATTTTGACAGCTAAGGGGAAGAGGAATGAATTCTTGTCTCAGTGACAAAGGTAGAGTTGATGTAGAACCGAGCAACAATAAATAAAATTTTAAAAAATCTACTGGCCAATTTGAGGGGAATCAGTCAGCTGAATTCAGAAAACATATCCCCATATTTAATAATGGTGAATTTGGCTTGGAATTTAACTATTCTCCCTGATGAATTCTTTACTCTTTTCTTCAAAGATCAGGTTGAGTAGTACAACCAAATGAAGAGACAGTTCACTATCCTAAAGGCAATAGTTAAACTAAAAGTATTTAAGATACTGAAAAGGGAAAGATAAGTACTGAATATTGTCTCTGGAGGAGAAGAGGCAGCCTGTGCTACGCAAGTGCAGAGAATTCATTGAAGTCATGGGAGCACTTGCTGTTTTCTAGCTGTCACATAATGTTGGTTCTAAGCATTCTGCTGATAATTGTGATAATTTCTATAGAATTATAATTAGTCTAACTAATTATGTAATCCAATTCTTCTCTGCTTCCCCAGATTATCACAGAGTGACAAGTGAGCTGCTAGAGATAACTCCCTTCCTTCCTTCCTGCTTTCCTGCCTTCCTTCCTGCCTTCCTGC